TTGTGAGAAAACCAGTGGAAAGTGCCAGACAGAATGGTCTCTTGGGACTTGCTCATGGAATTGGGCGTGCTTTCCTAGGATTTTTTGTTCAACCAGTCAGTGGGGCATTAGATTTCATCTCATTGACAGTTGATGGAATCAGCGCTAGCTGTTCCAAATGTTTGGAGGTTTTAAATGACAAAAGCACCCTCCAGAGAATTAGAAATCCCCGAGCTATTCATGCTGATGGTATACTGAGAGAGTACTCTGAGAAAGAAGCTACTGGTCAGGTACCACCTTAATAGCCTTTTTTTGAGGCAGAAAGTGTTTGTCCTGAGTGTGTTTGAATTTGTGCTTAGAGCTAGCTATCATTTTACTCTATGTTGCTTTTATGTGTATGGATGAAATGTTTGAGCATTGACCACCCAAACCAACATTAATAGAAACTAGTAAGCATCTAACCTAAAATCTATTGATAATAGGTGGAAAGATCCAACTGAGTCACTACAGACAGTGTAACTTGACTGATGTGGGATAACATCACATAGGTCGCCACTCACGTTTTGGCCAAATACTAGCAACAAAAGCAAATAGGCCTCGTGCATGACAAGAAATAATAGGCAACAAACAACTTAGGCTTTGATACCATTTTAAAAATATAACCTAAACAATTGACAATAGGTAGAGAGCCCATTCCTGATTATAAAGCCTCAATAACTCTAAACTTAATGATGTAGGATAACACTATTTACAAGAATTAATTGAAATTTTGGTTTCTTACGCTTTCTCTAGTGAAATTTCATGGTTTCAGCAAACCTGAGTTAGGCTTTGCTTGGTTGGAAGGATGGAAAACTTAAAATTCATAACCACTTTCCTATTTTGTAGTTTAAATAGATTAACAAGTTTTCCATCCTTACTCATTTCCATCCTCACTTCCAAGCAAAACCTGGTAGGAAGGATGGCAAGGGGTGAGGATGGAAAACTTATTAATCTATAGCCTTAATGTATTTTAGTTAGCATCTTTATCTTTCACCAGGCAAAAAGAATGTAAATACTATTGATAATTATAGTTGTTCTCTCTTTGGTTGTAAATTTTATGGTTGTTTTATGTGTAGGTGTCTATGTAAAAATATGCAAAGATGACATACTATTTCACAATATTGGATTAATTTTCTAGTCTAGTTTCATGTTGTCCTAACTTTATCTCATAGAATGTTGGTAAGTATTTTAAGTAGTTTTAGGCATTGTACAGTGGAGGAATTGTTAGTTGTGATCACTTTAGCAGACAGATATGGTCTTTATGTGCGACCCTGGTTAGTTGATAAAGTGCCAAGAATTAGAATCATTTGCTGGCCAGGAATAGGATTGGCACATGTGCATACACCTCAGACATGAGACACTCAGAGATTGGCATAGCATAGGTTGACACACATTCTGAGACATACGAGATAGAGGATGGATGAGCCTTATTAAGCTCCATCTATCTGTTACGTACTGAAAACTTTCAGAGCTTAAAATTGAAAAAAATGGAATTGCTTCATCTATCTGCTTGGAAAATTTGTGAATTTGATTGCTTTCATGCTTTTGTTTCCAGATGGTGCTCTATCTGGCAGAAGCAAGTCAACATTTTGGCTGTAGTGAAATATTCAAAGAGCCCTCAAAATTTGCTTGGTCTGATTATTATGAAGAGCATTTTCTTGTACCATACCAAAAAATAGTTTTAGTGACCAATAAGCGAGTTATGCTCTTGCAGGTGAGTCAAGGGGAATTAAGCTTTGAAACTAAGTATGTAAGTAAATTTTCAGCTCATTTTCTGATGCCTTCGTTTCTCGTTGTCGCAGTGTTCATCTCGTGACAAGATGGACAAAAAACCTTGCAAGATCATGTGGGATGTGCCATGGGAAGAGCTCATGGCAGTGGAGTTGGCAAAAGCAGGCAGTCAGCTGCCTTCTCACTTGCTCCTGCATCTTAAGAATTTTAGGAGATCAGAAATGTTTGTTCGAGTGATAAAGTGCAATGTTGAAGAAGTTGAGGGAATAGAACCACAAGCTGTTAAGATATGTTCAGTGGTGCGTAAGATGTGGAGAGCGCACCAATCTGACAGGAACAGCATTAAGCTAAAGGTTGGCAGTTTGTATAAATCTTTATCCTTTCAAGATGGCATGTAAACAGTACTGACAAGATTCTCCATTTTTCAGGTTCCTTCAAGCCAGAGATATGTACATTTTTCTTGGAGTGAGACTGATAGGAAAATACCACATGCCCCAAATAAATCCATCATCAAGTCAAGAGAGATCTCTTCATCAAGTTCTGCATCTGAGGAAACAAAATTTGTTAAACACAGTATAAACTTTCGGAAGATCTGGAGCAGTGAGAGAGAATTGAAAGGTCGATGTGCATTATGTAGAAAACAGGTGGTTTATGCTTTACCATTCTTTACTTGTTGCAGTGTAGATTACTTCATGGCATGGTCTTAGCATAAAAAGTTTGTTGTCTATTAGGTAGCTGATGATGGTGGAGTATTTAGCATTTGGAGGCCCATTTGTCCAGACGGGTAATTACTAAATTCTTTGTAGCTTTTTTTCTTTTTTTTTTTTTACCTTAAAAAGATTAGAGTTTGTATTTTTCTGCTTACTTCATCTTATCTGTTAATCTGATTGTTTTGGCTTCCTATGAATTAACATGAAAATGTTACGTCTTTACCATTGAGAATGTTCTTGTACTAATCACAAGCCTCTCTTTTCATTCACTTGTGGCTGGAATTTACATCAATGTTGTAAACCTTGAAAAATGCCAATTTTATAATAAAGGGTTGACATGTATTACTCCTTAGTTATTTTCTTGATATGCATCATTAGGAAGTGAGCCATAGTTGTTGGTTCTTTTTTTCTTTTTATTTTTTCAAATTTCAAGTAGAGTATTATCTTTTTATAATAGAAGGTAGTCAAGATCAGAAGTTATATATGAAACTTTAATTTGAAACGGATGTACTATGGTATGAAACTCTAATGGGAAATTGATACACAATTTAGTTGTAATAAGTGATAGGACTTGATATGTATCAGTCATTAACCAAACAAGTTTTAGTTGAGTGATAGGGTCAAAATTTTCTGTTACTGACCAAGCAAAGTTAATCATCAGGATATTAGTGAATCATTTTATGGCCTTCTTTGGGCAAAAATGCGTTTTGTACTTAAATGTTTTATGCATTATGGATTAGGATATTTGTGTACTGTTAATTTTTTCACTTATGGTCACGTGATCCAAGGCTTAGGTGCCAAGGGGATGGAGGGAGGTTTTAAGTGATGTTATTTTGCCTTCGCAATATTTTAGAGTTCTGAAAAAGCCCAATTTCCTCAATTACCTACTTTTGCTCGGACTGTAGCTCTAGTAGCCAACTAAACCAAGTAAACTGGCGAGTGAGAAAGGGAAAAGAGAAGAAAGGGTTTAAATCTGGGTAGTTCGTATTTTGTTGTTTCCTGGTAGTCTAGTATTAGGTAAAATATTAATTTGCAGCAATAGCAGTTGAGAAACATGGATTACTGAGTGGACCTTGGATCTTCAATTCTTCATCGTAATTATTACCTCATGTTGCCAAATGCTTTTGCATATATTTCGGAGCTGGATCATGTTTCTCTTTCCTTCAGGTATGTCTCCATTGGTGACATAGCTCGTGTTGGGAGCTACCCTCCTAATGTTGCTGCTGTTTACCGATACATTGACAAGCTATTTGCACTTCCTGTGGGCTATGACCTGGTAAGAACGAGCAAAGGCATGATCAAATTTTATCTTTATAATAGCTGTCATTTAGGGCTTGTAGGAGTTATTTAATGATATCCTGATATTTTGCCCGAAATTTTGTATTAGACATTAGATTTTCTATGCTAATGTGGACATGGACAAACTATTTTAGTCTCACGGGTTTGAAGTGTCAATTTTAAACCATTTTAAAACGGAGTTCTTATTGAGAGATCCTGCAGGTATGGAGGAATTGTCTGGATGACTACACAACTCCGGTCTCAATTTGGTATCCACGAGCTCCCGAGGGATTCACCTCTCTCGGATGTGTTGCTGTAGCAGGTTTCGAGGAGCCAGAAGCTGATTTGGTACATTGTGTGGCGGAAACACATGCCGAAGAAACAACATTTGAGGAGCAGAAGGTTTGGTCTGCACCAGAATCATATCCCTGGGGTTGTCATGTTTACCAAGTCCGAAGTGACGCTCTCCATTTTGTTGCTCTAAGAGAAACTAAAGAAGAATCCAACTGGAAGCCCACGAGAGTTCGTGATGATCTTCCATCCCCGCAATCATCAGAAGCTTAGTGAATTTTGGTATTGTTATAGACACAAGTTGAGGTTCCATAAAATGCAAAAAAAAACAACTGGAATAACCGATTTGTTGCTTCATGATTCTTTATTGGCTTTGGTTTGAATATAGTGAATGTATATATAAAATTGTTTTCAAAGCTTCTGTAAAAAATGAAGATTGGAAGTGAGGCTTCGCCCTTCATAAATAGGGCACTTAAATTTTGTCAGGAAATCTGAATGTTTTAAAAATCTCATCAGTGTATTCATTTGTTCACATTAATATTTGATTTTATTATAAGGTTTTGAGATCGTATTTAATATATTATTAGTATAATTTTTTTAATTTTATAGAAGAGATTGAAAATTTAACATTTTTTTATTTTTTTAAATGTTTTAATGGATATGCGTTAGTAGTTAATTTTGTTTGTAAAATTCAAAAATTTTATTGATTATAAAACTTAATCTTTTTTTTATATATCCCTGCACCTCAAACTTTAGATTTTAAATTAAAAAAATTGAAGGATATAATTAGGAATGTAATATACTAAAAACAGGATAGTTCACTGGTTATACGTAGAAATAGATTTGTACTGAAAAACGACAGTATAACATTAAAAAAAAAATTCACTTGGGGTTGTCCTACACAAAAAAATCAGTTGGAAGTGGAAGAGACAGGGGCCCACAAATACCAGCCGGAATGGTTAAAGACCATACACGTGGGAGGAGGTGTATGGAGGAGCTGCGTCGGCAAACTTAAAGTTTCCATTCCCCGCGTCCCGCGTCCTAACAAAATCCAAAAAGGTCTTATCTTGTGCTTATCTCAGAACAGATCACTACACGGTTCTCACTTCACACAGCTTCACTCTTCTATTGAGACAATGGAGGGATTGATCAAAGGTTTGATCGACGTTGCGCTTGGCGGTGGTGGCCGCGATGGAGAAAATGAGGATCGAGATGAACGCTCCAGATCCAGTTGGGCCCAGGTTAATTTGGATTTCTTTATCCGATCTCATTGCTTATGTTATAGTTTAGGTTTAAAAATTTGGTAATCGGATTTGCTAACGTGAGCAGGTGGTGTCAGGGGAGCAGGATAACGATGATCGTACACATGGCCATAATCCTCCGAATCAGTGGAGAAGACAGGTTTTCCTTTCTTGTTTTTTTCTTTTAAAGTTTTGTCTTTTGGATCTGAAATTGGAGTACATCGAAGTGGTTGTCCATTGTTTTCTTGTTAAAGTTGGGAACTTTATTAACTTTTTAGGAGGAGAGTCAACAAGAGCACGACGGCTGGGAGGTTTCGGGTTCAAGACCTTCCAGCAGACCCCACAAGGTAGATTTCGGATTTCTTTTACTTAAATTTACTATTTTTAGCATTTTTTTTAATACTAAACTTCACAATGAACTGACCGTTAGAAACACGCTAAGAAGAGTTTAAGTTAATTATTTTGAATCGATCATGTTTTTGTGAAACTTTCTTTGCTTTTATTTAAATTGCATGAATTTGTATGTATACATGCATACATGGTGGCACCCATGATTTATATGTTTGGATGTATGGAAGGGCCTTGTCAAATGATGTATGTAAATTGTTTTTTTTTTTTTCTGAAAGTTGTATTAATTCATTTACTATTTGTTTTTGGGTTGTAGATTTGACATTTTGATCATTATTCTAAATGTGGCCTTATTATCAATAACCTTAAATGCAGGCTGAGTATGGGGGATATGAAAAGGATGAAGGTGGCGACCACCATGGTTATAGCCAAAGTGAATGGAGCAGAAAGGTTGCCACTAGGTTTTATTTTGCTGTTGTAATTAACTTCTTTTCAGTGAAATCTATATTTGTGAGTGCTCTGATTGACCTTGAAGGGTTTTAACTTTGCATACAGGAACAAGATAATGAGAATAATGATGGCTGGGAAACTGTTGGCAGAAAGCCTCAAAGACGACCACACAAGGCTTATTCTTACTCTATCTTTTTATATGTCACATCTTAAATTGATGCAATGCTAATGTCGTACTCACCTTGGATCACTATGCCCGTGTTGTTTCTCCTCTTTCCCTTTATATGGTTTTAGATTTACTTTTCTTTTAAGCTGCAGATGTAGTATTTTGAATTTTACTTGAAAACATGTAGATTCATGATGTGTAGCATAATGACATTAGATATCTTTTGCATTAGGTTGGTCAATATTCACTTTACATCCCTTCTAGTTTTTGGGTACAATATTATAGACTATGACATTCATAGATGAGTCCTATTTTTTTGGTTGGGGCTCTATGATTCACTTATTGAATAGCCTTATTCTTTTTGAATCACTGTCTAATACCTTGTGAATGAAATATTTGCAGGTTCGGATGGATCACTGGCAAGGATATAAACGATCTCCTAGTGAGCAAGAATACTCTGATGAGGTTGAAACTGGTACTAGCATAGAACCTTCTGAAGAGGAACTTGCTGACTTGTCACAAGCTTGCAACAGGCTGTGGCAACTCGATTTAAACCGTTTGGAACCTGGAAAGGATTATCAGATTGACTGTGGTGAAGGGAAGAAGGTTTACCAAAAGCAAGATATGGCAGAAGGAAGTCTGTTTTATTCGTTAAGCGAAGACATATTTAGAAGACCTACATTTTCTCGGTTCTGTTCTCTCTTAGATAATTACAACCCAAACGCTGGGTGCAAAGAAGTTGTTACATCTGAGGAGAAACAAGAGCAGTCTGCTTTCATAGAAGAAATCAGTAGAACTGCACCAATTAAATATCTTCACAAGTACCTCTTTTTGAAGGGCATTGTATCTGAAAACTATCAAGATTTCAAAAGAATGATGACGAAGCTATGGTTTGATCTTTATGGTCGAGGTGGTACATCCAGTTCCTCTTCTGCCTTTGAACATGTTTTTGTTGGAGAAATCAAGCAACAGGGTGAGCAAGAAGTTACTGGCTTCCACAATTGGATTCAGGTGTGTGTTTGTTACTGTGACTTTTTCTTGTTTGTCAATTCAATAATGCATGATGATGCTTGGATCTGAAAAGATTTAAGTTGTTGCAATCATTAGTATATGGCTTGGCTTGTTTTATATCATTGACTTGTCTGGAAGCAATACTGAGATATTATAATTCTTTTATGCAAAATTTTTTTTTTTTTTTCATCCGTTGGAGCAAAAAAAAAAAGGGTAGTGTGGTTTCTCATTAACTTTTTGAAGTTGTTGGTCAATAAAAGAGGAGCAGTGGTGATAATATCAATTAAAGCAATCCATTGTCAACCCCTGTCCCAAGCATACCTTAATGCACTTTTTGATTTTTTAGGTGCTATGTAGATAGGTTTGCATTTCTCTTAAAAAAAACAACATTTCTTTCTCTATAGGTGTATATTGCTAACGGAATATTTCATTTTCTAGTTTTACCTAGAAGAAGCAAAAGGAAGAGTTGATTATCAAGGTTATATATTACCCCGAAGACGAGGGGAAACTGTAAGTCTCTTCATCTTCAATCTCTGTTCTGTTAGCATTTTATTCTCTCTTCTAAGTTTTGGCTATGCATGCAAGAGAAAGAAGAAAGTATTTTTTTCATATTTGATGAAGATAAATTGAAGTTTCTAGGCCACTGCAGATAATATATTTGGTTGAGGTTGAAGGAAAACATTTCATTTTCTTTGATGAAAGTTATTATAAACCTGAAGAGGAACTTCTTTTCTCCATCACCTGCACCCTCACCTATTTTTCAATGTTTAATATTTCCCTTCTACCTTTCTCTTTTTTGCAGCCGGACTCTGAAACACAGTTGCTTACAATTCAGTTCGAATGGAATGGGGTTCTCAAATCTGTGTCAAGTACTTTCATTGGGGTGAGCCCAGAATTTGAAATTGCTCTCTATACTCTGTGTTTCTTTGTGGGTGGAGAGGATAACTATGTGCAGCTGGGTCCATACTCTGTTAATATCAAGTGCTACCGATTCGGAGATAAAATCGGTTCTGTATTTCCAATAGCAGAATGTTGATTTTCGGCTCTGTGAATTATTATTATCCATAAGCTACTGAAAGGCTAAGACATATGTTAATGTTACCGTATAACATAAGTTTATGATATCGTAATGAATGTTATTTCTTGAATAATTTCCTAATTTGGTAATATGTGTGTAAAACTTACAAACAATGTTGATAAGCATTCGCTTCGGCTTAATATTATGTCGATTCAAATTCTTTGTATGGTTATGAACTTACATGCTTCTATGTTTTGCTGTTATTATTACATAATTATTATACAAAATTAAATATGCCTCTTCTTCATTTTTTTCTATTTAAATGAAATTTTAAAATTTGAGTCTGCAGATGGCTTAGAGAAGCATTACAAGTTATTGTTCTAAGTGGGGTATTTGACTTGTGAAAATGACAGGTACAAAAAACTTTGAATAAGGATTTTCTGTATCATAAAAAATAAATATTCCAAGTTCAGTGCCTTCTACGTAGAAGGAAATATCTTTTGAAGCTTCAGCAGATATTCTAGAGGAAAGTGCTAACCTTCTTTAAAATTGAAAAACAAATATGCTATGTCTTGTTCAGCTGAATTCAAGATGCCAAATAAAAGATCAATGTGCTATTTTTTTAGAATATAAAACTGCAGCGGATATCTCTGTTATGACAGCAACCCTGGTCTTGTCATAATATGTTTCTAGGTGAATTGTCTGCTTATCATTTTTCACAGAAAACTTATCCTCTATTTTCTATCGATATCTTGATAGCCAGTTGTGGCCAGAACAAGATATATAGTTCATATTTCAAACATGGTTGAGTCAAGTTTGCACTAATTTTGTTCTGCTGGATGATCATGGTTACCAAAACTTATCTGAAAGAGATTATGCATTGATAAACACACCCAAACTTTAAGAACTAAAAGAAACTAATGGTAAGATTGGATTTATATGCAAGAGACAAACATGTATATGGCGATTTCAAACTTATGCGTTATTTATTTATTTTTATCCAGGACCGAACACAATGCTTGTTAAAATGCATAGTGAATCTTATATAAATGTTCATTTAATTCAAGCATTTCACTTTTTCTGCAATTTCTGAATTCTGACATTTCAGGATAGTTTGTTCATTGACTTATTCTATACCTAATAAAACTGTCCTCTACAGGAAAAGAAAAAAAAAATGGCAACCAAATTTTGTTACTTAATCACCCACATTTGATCACATTTTTATATTAGCAAAATTCTAACAACAGTAGTTTCGTACAAAAATTGGAGACTCAAATGAAACAAACTATCACAAACCTAACTAGTAACCTAACTAGTAGTTGGTTTTTTTTAAAAGACCAATGAAATCTGTACTAAGGAAAAGATTAATTGCGTAGAAAAAGAAAGGGCGGTGAGGGATTTTTTTTTTTTTTTTTTGTGGGGATTGAAATGGATATGTTTCAGCAATGGAGAACCACAAGCAAATGTTACAGTAGAGGAAGGAAAAAAGGGAAATTTGTGGTGGGGACCTTGTTTGCATTGATTGTGACAGAACAAGACAATGGCTACTTGAAATTGGGAGTGTGAAAACATTGGCAAACGAGGTCGTTTTTTTTCTGACTTTTCCAAAAATCACCGTGCATAGAAAGTATGGGAAGATGATCAATTTTTCATCACGAAAATGAAACTAGATTCTCTTTGAGAGAGATGCTCTATGGTTTTTTGGTTATAGACAAGGAAAAATGTGGCCCATGCTTCATAGTTCATATGGCTACTCGAAACACCCTTTTCTCCTTCCCATTTTTAATGTTCCAAAAGGTTGTATTCATCCCCACTTTATTATTATTTTTCCTGCTGAGAAAAACTTTGAAGAGATAAGATCTAATTTGCTCCACAAAAATATGTAATGGTGAGCCAACAGCTAAGCTCAATAGTCCTCACCTGAAAAAAAGACCAAGCTATCGATGTCAAGGGGTATGAGAGATTCGGAATTATATTTCCATTCAACAAGGACAGGCTGCTCAATTCTCACTATATCAAATTTGAATACTTCCTCTTTGCCACCGACGAATCGGCAGCTTATTTCTTACATTTGTTTGCTCTTCTAAGAGAAATGACCTCTAGCTTCCATAGTCCATACACATGATTCTCACACGTCTGCTATACAATATGGGATCAAGGCCAATTTGTATTTGAGATTTGAGAAACATAACACATGCTGTGCTTGCCTTCAGTCATCAGAAACCTGTATGTGTAACATTTAATATGCTACTCGGCCCCTGATAGATTTTCCATTGATATTATGCATGAATGACATGGACGAACTTCGCTCCTACCAGTATTGATCAGGGTAACAATTCTGATGGAACTGTTTGATCAAGTGAAAGCATAATCATATATTATAAATCAGTGGAGCAGTTCCAACTTTGGATAGATCAATGCATACGGAAAGAAAAGTCTAACCAAAAATGAAGTATAGACTTAATTACAGCCACATGCATTTGCAATTGAAAACAGACTTCAATTTTCTTATCCTAAACCCACCGAAGCCAAGAAACGTTGAAATCCTAGTAACTTCTCAACCACAGAAATGAATAGACAGTACAGAACATGAACCAAAGAGAGGGTAACTTGCTTGGAGTTTGCAGCTTTGCTGGATCATTGGAAAGTTGTACCATCCATTGGTTCCCAAGCTAATAATTTGATTGCAAATTTATAACTGAATTAGCAAAATTACCGTTACTTTCACCAGCAGCAGCTACCTCCAGGCTGGTCATGAGCAAATTCAGTCCTATAGCAAGTATGATTTTGTCGCATAACAGAAGACAATATATAGAAAATTCTATCTATAACTTTGAAGATGTAATGGTAACCGAAATACCCAAATAATCAACAAGAGTCTGTCATTTCAAAATGAGGGATTTTGGCGACAGTTAAAAACTGAAACTTTTTTTTTTTTATCATTTTGATTTATTAAAAATGGATAAGGAATAACCACGTTTAGCTAATATGACCTTGAAAAGTTGAGCTGACTTGTTTTGATCTTTTGCACTTTTTCCCCTTTGAAGCAGAGCCCACCAACATTGTCTTCTTCACAAAACTTAACTCAGTTTCATTTATATAAATAAGTGCAAACCATGTTCATTTAGTCCCCCATCTCTTTTCCCTCTCTTCATCTCCCAAAACAGCAAATAGAAACATGGCCTTAACATTACGTTCTTCTACTACTTTCATTAATCTCAAAGAAACCAAAAGCTTCAAAACTCCTGATGAATTCTTAGGCACCATTTCCTATGCTCAAATGAAGCCACCATGTCGTCTACGAGCAAGGAATTCGATGTCAATGCGGATGCAGGAAGCACAGCTCTCTCATGCGAAAATCTCAATCAATGAAGGGAGGAATAGTGAGAAAAGGGAGAAGTTACATGGCCTAACAATTTCCCATGATGAGAATAACTCCAAGGTGCCTGTTTTTGTGATGTTGCCACTTGACACAATAACTCTAGGAGGTAACTTGAATAAGCCCCGGGCAATGAATGCTAGTTTGATGGCCTTAAAGAGCGCAGGTGTGGAAGGAGTTATGGTCGATGCCTGGTGGGGTTTGGTAGAGAAAGATGGACCTTTGAAGTACAATTGGGAAGGGTATGCTGAGCTTGTGCAAATGGTCGAAAAGCATGGTCTAAAGCTTCAAGTTGTCATGTCTTTTCATCAGTGTGGAGGGAATGTCGGAGACTCTTGCAGGTATTACTTCTACATGCAATTTATGTATTATTTAAATTCTTATGCTGCAAAATGGTTTCAGAAACATAAACCAAAACTTGTCTGCTTTAATGTTTAGTATCCCGCTACCTCCATGGGTGCTAGAAGAAATCAGCAAGAACCCGGACCTTGTCTACACTGACAGGTCAGGGCGGAGGAATCCTGAGTACATTTCCTTGGGTTGTGACTCCATACCTGTTCTCAGAGGACGAACACCTATTCAGGCTTACACAGATTACATGAGGAGCTTCCGTGAGAGGTTCAGAGATTACTTGGGACTAGTTATTGTGGTAAGCATTTATAAAAAAACTCAAACTCCTCCAAATTGTTTAATTTTCACACTCATTTATTAAAGTTATCTATGTATTTAATATCAAGCAACAGGATAATCTTTTTCTCAAAGTGAATGGATGAATGGAGATACACTAAAAAAATAAATACTAAAAAGGGTAAGAGAGAGAGAAAAAAAAAAGGAATTTAATCACTAAAGGAACTAAACAAGGGTGTCAAAATCATATCATCCATTGTTTACGATTAGAGTCTAAAAGCCATCCAAATGATGGACCACAGGCGCCTACCATCATGTTTAAAATATCAAACATCAATATCTAGTTTTATGCTCTTTTATTTCTGTACTCAAGTGGTGTCAATTTTATTTTTGGGAAACGCTGGAAATCTAAATGGGATTTCTATTTCAGGAAATTCAAGTGGGGATGGGCCCATGTGGGGAGCTGAGATACCCATCTTATCCAGAAAGCAATGGAATATGGAAATTTCCTGGAATTGGAGAATTTCAGTGCTATGACAAGGTAAATTTGATGAACGAAATGAATTTTCTCCCTTAATTATCTTTTGGGAAGGATATAATGAAACAATAACCAAATTTGAATGGTCAAACTTAGATTATTTGATTCCTAAACAAGCTTAAATGTTGACATTACAGTATATGAGAGCTTCCCTTGAAGCAGCAGCAGAAACCATTGGGAAGAAAGAATGGGGAAAAGGTGGGCCACGTGATTCTGGTCACTACAAGCAAGTTCCTGAAAAAACTGGCTTTTTCCGAAGGGATGGAACATGGAACACTGAGTATGGACAGTTCTTCCTGGAGTGGTACTCTGGAAAGCTGCTAGAGCATGGAGATAGAATATTTGCAGCAGCAAAAGGAACATTTCATGGAACTGGAGCAAAACTATCTGGAAAGGTAGCTGGAATTCACTGGCATTACAGAACAAGGTCTCATGCTGCCGAACTAACATCAGGATACTATAATACTAGATATCGGGACGGTTACCTACCAATAGCACAAATGTTCAGCAAAAACGGAGTTGTGTTCAACTTCACCTGCATGGAAATGAGAGATGGGAAACAACCTGAGCATGCAAACTGTTCACCAGAAGGATTAGTCCGGCAAGTAAAGATGGCGACAAAGACAGCAGGAGTCGAACTTGCAGGAGAAAATGCACTAGAGAGGTATGATGCCGGTGCATATGCACAGGTCTTGGCAACAAGTAGATCAGATTCAGGCAACGGATTGAGTGCATTTACATATTTAAGAATGAACAAAAGGTTGTTTGAAGGGGACAACTGGAGGCACCTGGTGGAATTTGTGAAAAGCATGTCTGAAGGAGGTAGGCGAATTTCAGAGTGTGACTCCCGGGGGACAAACCTTTACATTGGGTTTATCGGAGACAAGAATGTCGAGAAAATGAAGGAGGCTGCTCTTGTATAGAAACTATGCACAGGGTCCACGAACAAAACTATATTTTTATTGTATTATATTTATAAGCTGAAAAAAAAAAAAAAAAAAAAGAAGGAGCGAAACAGAGCAAAAAGGACTATAGTCCATTACATATACACCATAATATTTGGTATCATATACCAAACTAGCTGATGGGTGAAACCAAAATAAAAAGATTGGATCTCCATAAAATATATGGAGATTTCATTAAATCTATGCTTAAGATCTTCCAATTGTTTTGCTCACCAATGAAGATTGAATCAGTCTAATTCATTCAAATCAATCCAAAAGAGATCTAAAATTCTTATAAATGTTTTTTTAATATATATATATATATATGTGTGTGTGTGTATGTGTGTATGTGTGTGAATGTTCTTATTTCTACTTCATTGATTACATTTCCAATATTTTTCAATTTGGTGCATTCAAATGGACTATATTAAACCAATATCAAGCAAATTAAACCACCTCATGCAGACGGTTACAAAAAGGAAATGAAGTCAAAAGTTCTTAATCAACGGTTAATAGCTAGAACAATATGTCAAAGTACTAATATTTTTGCAACAGTTAATAGCTAATACAAAAGTACTAATACATGCCTCCAACGTCTAAAACCCAAACATATCTACTGGTATCCATCTAGTAGCTTCCTCACAAAGTTTTTTGCATTCATCTGGAACTGAAAAGAGGTAATTGGTTTTTGCAGTATCAGAGGTTATAATAGCTCCAACCTTTATGACCTCTTCCTCCGTTAGTCCTTCAATCTTAGATATGACATCATATACTTTCCTTTTCCTTGCTGCATTTTCAGCAAAGTATTGCAAATGGTTAACCAATTTACCAAGCTCAACACTTAGATCCTGACATCTCTCACCAAGTTTCTCTATTGCGTTAAACAATGGGTCATCCTGACTTTTCTAGTCCTAACCATCCTTCGAGGAATGGATGTCTCCCTAAGCAGTTGATTTCTTGTAGCTGCACCACTGAAGGTTTCACCATTACCATTTAGGCTCTGCATGACAAATTTTGACTTTGCAATATTATCCAGATTTTCTGTATTCAACAGTTCCTCAGCTCCTTCAACTTGAATTTCATTCAAAGCTTCATGAGCTGCACCCGTCAAATCTGAATCAATCCTTGTAAAATCCAGTCTTCTAATGGGCTGCCTCTCATAAATACTATCACTGACACTTTTACGCTTTCTATTTATGGCCCATCTCACATAATAAGAAGCAACACAAGTAGTGATAATCTACATCATCTTGTTCATCTTTATAAACAATGCTATAGCAATTGCGAGCATGGCAAGTTGTTCCTCTGAGAATCTTTCCATCATGGGAACTAAATAATAGATAGAAATACAATAAACATTCATTTTAGTCCCAAGGTTTCAGTTTAAACAACACAAACTATAGTATCTGTAATCACATAAAGCAGTCTATAACTAGAAGCAAACCAATAAAAATATGAAAATGGAGAAGCCATTTTGCACCTAGTTTTTACTATTCTTTAAAAAAAAAAAAAAAGAGCTTGATATAAAGATCAAAACTATTTTAAAATATAAACCAGAAACTGTGTTCACTTCACTCATAAACAGAAAAAAGAGGGAAAAAAACCACAAAAAATCTGAAATAAGCCAAAGAGAAAGCCTCATCATTGAATGAGAAGCAATAAAAGAAAAGCCCAAATCCAGAAATTGGAAAAGATATATGAACCACGATACATGGAAAGAGATATGCTCAAAATTACTTGATTTTCAAGGAGAGATGGAATATTCGAGCTGTAAGATAGAGTAGCGTTTCCAGCGAGCTTGTCCTGCCAAATTCCCAGTGGTAAAGAAGGGGAATGCCGTGCCACTAGGGTTTAATTTTGGGAGAAAGAATAAGGGAGAGAGCTGCAGTGACTGCCCTAATCACAATTTTTTTAAAAAAAATCATAACTTTTTCCGCATTCCAGTGGTAAAATCACATTTCCGGGAATGTGGGTGGCAAGCCAAACGAGGGAATCTTACTCCCAGAAAAGAAGCCAACTTCTACATTCCTTAAGCGAAACGGCAACGTTTCAAAAAGGAAATGGAAAACGCTGTCCATTTATTTTCTACGTCATCAGTTCAAAATTCAAGGTTTTTAATGCTGTCAGTCAATCTTATCACATTTGGAAGAAAATTGTACTGGAAAAACCGATCCAGAATGTGGAGGAGAAATCGGAATTATTGCGGCGAAGAGTTTCGATCAAGTCTCCCAGTTCTTCACGGGCCAATTCTCTGCCAAACATGAATCCTTACCTGAATCAAAGATTTTGAATGACGAAAAAAAATTACACTTTTGAAAGACTGAGATCCCCGAGCAAGTCAAATAAATAAAAAATTGGCGAAGCGATTCCTAATAGTAAGAAACGGCGGAGAAGACACCGGCGGTGGCAACCGTTTGAAAAGCTTGAACATTTTTCCCATTTTCCTTTTTTTTGTTTTTCTGATAACTGAAACGGAGTGGTTAATAAAATCATATGGGCCACAGCTGGGCTCACTAATTCTCATTGGATTAATTGCCATTATTTTTGGCCCAAATAATAAAAGCCCTTAGCCCAATTAATTTTCGTTTGGGATTAAGAATTTAACCTTTTGTTTTTTTTTTAACTAGAGAAACAACACATCACTTGTTAAAACAGTGAAAATTTAGAAAAATAAAAAGAAAAATAATGATCACTAGAAATTAGACTTTTACTAATAATTGTCAATAAAAGTACAATTAAAAAAAAACCCAAAAATTATGATTGAAGAAAACTAGCAACTTTGTGTAACTAAGTCCCTCAATTCTTTTGGGAGAAATTTTTTACAACTGATATTGTTTCAATCTCTGCTTCAACGATTATGGTATCTTTCACATGGAAGTCCTTTGATGAGTAAAGATAGTCCAACGACATGAACGCCAAGTGAAGGTAGCCAGTGTTTAAGATTGAGAACCAACGATAATTTGCAACAGTACTTCGATTGGAATATAAGCGCAAATATATATATATATATACTAGTTTTCTTTCACGATACGCGTAATTATTAATCAAATTATAATTTTAATATAATAAAATAATTTTATTATTTTTATAGTAATTAAATTAAAATAACTATCATCATACTAAATTAAATTGAAAATATAAATTTAAGTTTTAAAAAATAAATATAACAAAAATTTTAAATTAAAATTTCAATAAAAAATAATAAAATAATTACTATTCCCTTTATCTATCACAGTTAAATTGTCACAGTTAACTTTTTTTTGTTAAAAATTTTTAATTTTAACATCTATTATTTTAAATAGTTTAATAAATCAAATTTTATAAAACATATATTTAGAAACCACTTTATTTAAAGTTTTTAAAATATATTTTTTTCATATTTTTATCAATAATAAATATAAAATAATAAGTTATTAAAGTTAAAAATTTGACCAACAAAATAAAAATGTGACAATTTTACTTTGATTGAAGAAGTATTAAACTGAATTTTATTTACTATTGAATTATTATTAATTTACAACTAAGTCATCATTACTTTGCTATTAAGTTATCACTTAATTTTATTAAATTATCATTAATTTATTACTGTATTATTATATATTTACAATTATGTATAAATATTACCATTAAGTTATCATTATTATGTTATCATTGGCATACAATTATCTTATCAATTATTTACTACTAAATTATTATTTATTTATTATTAAGTTATCCATAATTTAATATACAATTATTATTGATTAAATATAAAGTTATTGTTGATGTTGTCTAAATTATCACTAATTTACAATAAAATTATAAATAATTTGCTATTATATTACTCTCTCTGTCTTTATTTATTTGTCTTGTATTGACTTTTACGGAGTTAAAAAAAAAGTTTTGATTTGAATGTATTTAATATTAAAATTAATTTTTTTATAAAATTAAAGTTTTATGATTTTTAATGTTAAAAAGTAAAAAAAAAATCATAAAAAATAATTTAAAATATAAAAAAGTAAGAGTTTTAGATGTTTAAAACAAAAAATAAACAAAATTTTGAGACATCCCAAAAAAAAAAAGATAGACAAAAAACTAAAATAAATGGAATATTATACATTTACTGATATGTTATAATTTATTTATCACTAAATCCTCTATAATTAATTTAATTGTATAAAACACGTTAATAGGTAAAATGTGTTACAAACCTTATAATATTCATATATAGAAAAACTATTTTAAATCTTCAAGCTGTATTGCTTACATTAAGTGGGGCATGAATGACTTAACTAAGATATTTTAATAAAAATAAATAAAAAGTAGATAATATTTTAATTTGCTAAAAAAATATTAAATAAAAATAAGTAGAGATAATTCAATAGATTATCACATTTTATATATAATATAGATATATATTAAACATCTTTTTAATTATAAAATTTCCTATTTAAAATTTCCTATTTAATTAAGCGCCTTTTACATATTAATTGAAAAAAAAAATCAGAGTTCTCGCAATCATCTATAATTTAAATTTTTTTTTCATTTTCATATATATTATGATATATTGATCCATTGAGTGATAAAAAGATTAATTTAGTAATCTTAGGATTTATATGAAATATTAATCGATTCATTTATCTTATTTTTACATATATATAATTTAATTTTATCAATTAAGTTAATTTTTTATCTTAATTATAAGACTATATAAATAAATATATTTTATTTCGCATCTTCATACTTAAAATTTTTTATCATGCAATTAATGAGTTCAATTATCAGTCTTCCTTTCTTTATGAATTGAAGAATTAGTTAAATATGCATGATTAGCATGTAGTGTATTATTAATAGGAGTCTACCCAATTAAAAAAATTACTTTTAATATTGTTTGGAGTTCATTTTTTTTATGTATATATCACAGCTGATATATGTATTTATATATGATAAACATGCTTATAAAAGTACAAATCATTATTAAATAGATACTTTCACGATAAGAATATAAATCATTATTAAATAGATACTGTCACGATAAGAATATAAATCACTAATCATATACTTTAAGTATATAAACAAATAAAATAAAATGAACTATAACATTATTATTTCAAAGAATATAATAATTGATTAGAGAACTAACAAAGCTATGATCATTCAACAAAACACACACAATTAATCAATATTTTTTACTTTCAAAACACAAAAATATGTTAGAGTATTCTTAATTGAAAAAAATACATTTATATTTTTCAAGGAAAAATCATAAAATATATTGATAATATAAATTTTAAATTTCACAATGAAGTTAGTAGCATGACATTTACCTTTTAGGCTTTAAAGTATATTAAAAAAATAAATTAAAAAAAAAAGTAAGTGATGTGTTAATTTCTTAACTCGCTTGTGAAGATAAAAAAAATTTAACTAACAATATATTAAATAATTTCTTTTCTTCAAGATTAATTTTTCTTAGAAATATTGACTTTGGTTTCATAAAAATATCTTAAGTACTAAATATTTGACATTAACTATAAAAAATTAAGGATAGACCAAAATTAACTTAAGTGTAGTATAGAATCAATCTATAGAAAATAAAATAAAAACTAAGTTTAGGGCACATGAGATTATGTTCATAAAATAAACATTCATTTAAGCATTATAATGTTAAGGTGTGATTGTATGGAGTAATTAGAAATATTATAATCAATCATTGTAATCATTAAACATAAAAATTTATATTTATCATAAAAATAAAAATAATCAAACATATAAATTTACCATAATACACGTATTGCTCTTTTTGAATAATTTTTGAATAATTTAATTTATAATTTTGTATGAACTTTAATTTCAATTAATCTAAAATAAATAAACAAAAATTATAAATATATTTAAGGACTTGTGATATGTGCCATTAAAAAATATCAAGAGTAAATTAGATTATATCTTGAAAATGAAAAATTATATGCTTTAATTAAGATAAAGTTAAATGTTTTGGGGTATACACATTATGTTCTAATAATTTAGACTAAAACAATTAGTAATTGAGAAACAAGAAAAAAATTTATGCCACAGCCCATAGGATGATAATGTGTTTTATATTAATTTGATTGAATTATTACTTATGAAATTTAACAAAAAAATTTTAATTTTTGACAACAAGCACACCATATCCCACAAATAAATTTTTAATATAGTTTAATTTGATATAAATTTTATTTATAAATTTTAATTGATTTAAATTTAAATAACTAACAAATAAAAAGCTATATTTTTAATGACAAATAATCTTTATTAAATAAATAAGAAATGCTAGAAATTGAAATATAAATTTGTTATTTTTTAAAATTTATAAAGATATTTATGTTATTCATTTTTAACACTTTTAGATTTAAATTTAAATAACTAACTAATAAAAGTTATATATTTAATGACAAATAATCATTATTAAATAAATAATTAATGCTAAAATTTAAAAGTAAATTTATTATTTTTTAAAATTTATAAGGGTATTTATGTCGTTCATTATTAATGTTATTCATTTTTAACACTTTTAGATTTAAATTTAAATAACTAACTAATAAAAGCTATATATTTAATGACAAATAATCATTATTAAATAAATAAATAATGCTAGAAATTTAAAAGTAAATTTGTTATTTCTTAAAATTTATAAGGGTATTTATATCGTTCACTATTAATACTTTTAGAGTTCACACTACATATACTTTTAGGCTTTAGAGTATATTAAAAAATTAAATTTAAAAAAAAATAAGTGATGTGTTAATTTCTTAACTCGCTAGTGAAGATAAAAAAAATTTAACTAACAATATATCAAATAATTTCTTTTCTTTAAGATTAATGTTTCTTAGCAATATTGACTTTGGTTTCATAAAAATATCTTAAGTACTAAATATTTGACATTAACTATAAAAAATTAAGGATATACCGAAATTAACTTAAGTGTAGTATAGAATCAATCTATAGAAAATAAAATAAAAACTAAGTTTAGTAACAATTCAAGGGTACATGAGATTATGTTCATAAAATAAACATTCATTTAAGCATTATAATGTTAAGGTGTGATTGCATAGAGTAATTAAAAATATTATAATCAATCATTGCAATAATTAAACACAAAAATTTATATTTATCATAAAAATAAAAATAATCAAACATATAAATTTACCATAATACACGTATTGCTCTTTTTGAATAATTTTTTTATAATTTAATTTATAATTTTGTATGAACTTTAATTTCAATTAATCTAAAATAAATAAACAAAAAATATAAATATATTTAAGGACTTATGATATGTGCCATTAAAAAATATCAAGAGTAAATTAGATTATATCTTGAAAATGAAAAATTATATGCTTTACTTAAGATAAAGTTAAATGTTTTGGGGTATAAACATTATGTTTTAATAATTTAGACTAAAACAATTAGTAATTGAGAAACAAGAAAAAAATTTTATGCCACAGCCCATAAGATGATAATGTGTTTTATATTAATTTGATTGAATTATTACTTATGAAATTTAACAAAAGATTTTAATTTTTGACAACAAACCCACCACATCCCACAAATAAATTTTTAATATAGTTTAATTTGATATAAATTTTATTTATAAATTTTTAATTGATTTAAATTTAAATAACTAACAAATAAAAAGCTATATTTTTAATGACAAATAATCTTTATTAAATAAATAAAAAATGCTAGAAATTCAAATATAAATTTGTTATTTTTTAAAATTTATAAAGATATTTAAGTTATTCATTTTTAACACTTTTAGATTTAAATTTAAATAACTAACTAATAAAATTATATATTTAATGACAAATAATCATTATTAAATAAATAATTAATGCTAAAAATTTAAAAGTAAATTTGTTATTTTTTAAAATTTATAAGGATATTTATGTCGTTCATTATTAATACTTTTAGAGTTCACAGTTTTATATATAAATGATATATATATATATATGTAAACAAAAGAAAAATATTGTTCAATGAGCTTTAACATTACATGATTTGGATATGGTTTAGAAATGTGTTCTGACCTGTTACCTCCATATGTTTTCCTTTCCTCTCGTCCCTTATTCTCAGTGTGTATTTAGCATACAATTTTCCCTCGGAAGAATGAGTTTTCCAATCATATATTCCCAATTGCAACTGTATATGGGATAATCCATCACCCTTGCCTATGACTCTTGGGATCACCTTTAGGGTCCTGCGTTCATTGGAGATATATAATAGTTAGATCGATATAGAAATCACATCGATATGTTCAAGCAAAGTAGGTACAATGGTTGTTTGCAGAATCCAAAAGACAAATCATTCGTGCTCTCCAACTGTGAATTCTCTGGAGAGAGATTCCTTAGTTAAACTTGAAAATTTGTCAATTTTCCAGGTGTAGGTATTCTTGATTGGACTCTTCAGAATGGACAGACACTCTCCTTTACCAGTACAGTTCAAAACAAAAACTTCAGTCCCGAATACGCATGAATCTTCAAAATGTTATCCATTAGCTGCCTCGTTAAAAGCATTAAGGGCTGAGAAATTCTGCAAATCCCAACTGAGTTTTCATGGCATTAAACCGCCTTACTCCGCCAATGGCATCTAAGACATAGGAACTATGCAATTATGCTACAAATACGAATCATATATAGGAAGAAAATCATATGTGATGATATATAAATGCTCTATGATAAGCTACCTTCGGGGGTCAAGTATTTGTCTCGAATCTGATCAAGCACAAACAGCCTGAAGATCACATTAACCTCCCAACCAAGAGGTAAAAACTCTGTTTCTGCAATTAACAAGTAGATAGGCGTGTCCATTTTTTTTCTTTCTTTCCTTCCCTTTGGATATAAACACAATCTCCTACAACAGCAAACAACATATGTAATACAAGGCTTAATTACATCTTCTTGACTTAGAGCAAATGGGAAGAACAAATATATATGATCATAACTGTAGTGTCCGAGCTTAAATACCATTTATAGCCACCTGATTTGAATGTGCCAGATTCATATTTTCTCTTGGGTCTTTGGATATGTTTTTGATATCATTGAGAATGACTCAACCTTGAAGATGTAGTGAGCTGGGTTTTGAAATCTGTGGGTTTCTTACTCCCTCCAGTCTCATAAAATTCTTCACAAAATCATTCAAATCAACTTGGTTTTCAATTTCTTGAGAAGGATATCAGTACTCATGATATTATACAATTTCTATTATCCTATTGAAATCAATTTAATAACTTTTAAACTTAAGCATCAATCAATTTCCGCTTTGATAGTGTAGATAAAACCTCTAATTACTAACTCATGTTTCAATTTATATCACATCTCTTGAAAGCCATCAACTGTTACATAGTTTAAGAACTTTTTGTCACACATTTCATGAATGTTTCCTTTGATTAATTATAGATGGCGTCTAAAAGCTAAACGCCATGGAAAAATGAAAAGCTTAGATTAATGCAGGTTAACCTTAGAATTCTCCAGAGTCCACACAAATACATACATATATAAAAATTATAATCATATTCTTTCTAATAAAAAAAAAACCATGCAGTCCTCCTTAATAACTGATGATGATGTCGAATAAAGTTGACAATAAAACATAGATAAATAAATGTAAGCCCAAGACAATCATGTTTGTGTAGGTAAAGATTAAACAACGATAGAATACGCAAAGCGTTGGAGATAGGATTAGAGGTGCAACTTGGGTTGCATCGGGTCTAGATAGTATAGAATCTTCATCATGTTGCTTTCCCGCAGCTTACTTCTAGAAGGTTGAGAGAAAATCAGATAGTTTTGAATGAGAAATCCTAGCTACTACAAAAGGATTACTTATTCTTTAACTTTGTCCGGGTAAAGGGGAGCAGATGGCGAACAAACTTGCGTGCGGTTGGGCTAAAAGGTTTCGTGGAATAAAAGCTAGAGTAATACCCGTTTTATTTTTAAGATGGATTATTCCAAGTTTTATTTGGATTTAAATTTTAATCCCTTTCTAAACTATCTTAAAATGTGCTCTCCAATAAAATATGCATGAATCATTTTTATCTCCTTCCCTAGAAAATGGTTGATAAGGAAACAAAAAAAAGCATGAAACCAATCTAAATATAAAACATAAACCGTGTTCATTTCACTCATAAACAGGAAAAAAGGGGAAAAAAACACCCAAAAAAGGTTTGAAACAAAACCAGAGAGAAAGCCTCCTTATTGAATAAGACTAAATAAAACAAGAACTCAAATCCAGAGATAAGAGAAGGATCTATGAAACAAGATACATAGAAAAGAGAAGAGTTCAAAATTACTTGATTTTCAATGAGAAATGAGAATGAATAGCCGCAAAAAAAAAAAAATCGAAACTTTACCACATTCCCCACGGAAAAATAAAAAATGGAGATTTGTTATGGTGTTACATTCCCCACGGAAAAATAAAAAATGGAGATTTGTTATGGTGTTCCTCAATCAATTACAGTGTCATATGTGAAAGACAATTCTATTGAAATACGAGCAATTCATATTTGAGCAAATCGTCACACATTACAAAGATTTACGGATTGATATAAAAGAAGGTTTAAGCTCCAACAAAAAACAACAGAGCAACTTTTTCATCAATCAAGAACAACCAATTTCTGGTACTCTTCACCCGAAATAGCAGCTTCCATGACAGCCTCAGGGTTTATATCTCCATCTTGATCCAAGAACATCTTTATCAAATTCTTAGAAAACCCACTAACCAACGCCACCCCATTTTGATTTCCAGGCACTGGTGTAGCCCTCGAATCTCTCAAATTCCAAAACACAATTTGTGGAATCGCCTCTCCATACCCTTTCTCAGTAAACTTTTTCACTATAACTTGATAGTCAGTCTCCCAGGGAGATGCTGATGCTTGATCAAACTCCATGTCGCTAAATACAAACAACCTTTTAACCATTTGTTCTGGCTTCAATTGGCCTTGAACAGCAACATTCAAGATAAGATCAAACACCTTCTGGAAATCAGTGTTCATGCCCCAATGCATGCATCTCACAAAATTAGTTTTTTCCTTCAAATTTCGACCTTCCACTAATTGGAGTTGAGGGTGTTGGCTGAAAGTAATGAGCTTCCCTTTCCATGGCTCCTCGCTTAGTTCCGAGACCAATACTCCCAAAGCAACAGAAACTTCCATTGGTGTCCCAGTCATGCTACCAGAAACGTCGCAAACCGCCATGCAGGTTCTAAGCTTTCCCTTCTGTAGCAAATCATTAACCATTCTTTGCCATTGAAGCTCTGCAACCTCTCCACCATCCTCGTCTTTCAATGAGGCGATTATTTCATGAGGAAGCAACGCACCAGCTGCAATTGTGGATTTCCCAGCTTTTACATCCTCCAAATACTTAGAGAACCGCTCCTTGTCATGCTTTAAGAATTTTTCCTTGTAAAACTTCATGGCCAGAGAGGCTACTCTTTTGTAGGGAATTGAATCCCATCTGTTTGCACCAATATACACCTCTGGCAATTCCAAAACTTTACGAAGTGGTACCAACACTTCCTTCCTCAGCCGATCACGAACTCTATAAGCGTAATGTGCTTCCTCGATACCTTCATATTCGGGGTAGTTCTCACGAGGGAACATCTTTTTGGCAATACTCTCACAAAGCAAAGTTGATTTATCGAAGGAAGAGTCAATGGAAGGGCACCACTTTGCAGCAAGACCAATCTTCCTTATTTGATCAGATTTCATCAACTCCATATCGGCTCTAAGACACTCGGCGAAAAGATCAGAGACACGCTCGTAGAGAAACCTGAAGTCCGGGTCACGTGAGTATCTCTCGATTACCTTTTTGGCCATAGCAATCTTCTTATCTTTCCTTAAAGCACTTGCATTTTCCTTCTCAATCTTAGCCCTTTCAATAGCATTTAACAGTCTAACTTCTTTGGGTGCACTGCAACTGGATTTCCCTTCCCCTGTTTTTTTCTTGGTTTTGCTTTGTAAACACTCGTGTCTGAATCTTGAGCGCCTTGTACTTTTAAGACCAAATTTTCTCTTGTTCCACTCCTCCTTTTGAATCTTCCTAACGTCGGAACCTTCAAGCATCCGGTAAAGAATCTCGGGAAGATCCTTAAAATAACCGAAATCAGCAAAGGAATCCAAGTTGCAGGCAAGGGTTTTAGGATGGTGATTGTGTAGCCAAAACGCTGCCGTGTAAAACCCTTCCTTGTCTGATTTCCCAGTGCCACGAACGCCGCGTAGGTTACAGATGAGTTTGAGGGTGGTCAGAGGGTTGTGATCCCAAGCAAGACTCAGCCTCTTTTTGAGGGAATCGGGTGGGGTGTCAGGAACCACATGGAAAAAAAAGTCAAGGCAGGGGTTACCTGATGAGAGAAAAGTGGCTGACATGTTCTCGGTGAAGCCCATGGGAAGGTCATAGGGTTGTGAGATATTGTCTTTGTTGAAGTTGGCCACCATTAGATCCATGAAGGGATTGCTTGGAGCGGTGGTGGTTTGAGGCTGTGGCCTTGGAGGGGTTGGACTGCGGAGTTCAGGTGGACCTAAGAGGGATGGAGGAGCCATTTTTGATTGCTTGGGGATTGGAAACTGGAGATCTCTTTGATTTTGGTGCGGTGAAGTTGTGATTGATAGATTCTGTCAAGAAATCGGGTTTAGGGATGCAAACACATGCTCGAATGAGGTATTTATAGCCTGTGCCTTACCTTGGTCTCCAAGCATGGGAACAAATTTCTTTTTCTATATTTTATAAAGATTTTCTTTTTTTATTTTTTTTTTGGCCTTTTCTTAATCACCAAGTATATATATATATATATATATATATATTTTGCTATGAGATTTATTTGATTTATTGATAAATGATATAGTATTATTGAAATTGAATCACTTGTATTAGAAAAAAAATTACTTGATTCAAAATTCTTAATTTATTTTTTATTTATCATATTCTTTATTATTATATTTATTCAAAATTCATTATATTCAAATGACTTATTATTTGAATATAAAAACAAATAAGACGCAAACAAGGCCCATATATTTTGTCTTTCAAAAGGGGAAAAGAAATCCTTCATCTTTTTCATCAACAACGAAATTTATACATAAATTTAATGCATAACAACTTACAATCGCCACTCTAATTTACAAGCATTCCTCATTCTAAAATCTTGCCGCTCTTCCAACCATGAATTGTAGTTCAAAAGTAGTAAAAAAAATTTATGCTAAGACCAAAGATTTGCAAATTTGAGTTGTCCTAGGGGGATCCTTCATCCTTGAATTCACCTTTGGATAAAACTTGAGCTGCATACCTCAAGGAATCAACAATGGCGGCGTTCATATCCAGGAATTCATAGTTCAAACCTATCAAAGAAAACAGCGGAAGGCAGGTTTAGTAACTAATAAAAGGTTTCGTGGTTGGCTCCGTTAAAATCAGAAAAATCCTTATACCCTTATACCGACCTTACTCGAGCTTCGTCTGCCTGTTCTAGATGAAGATGCAACAGAAGACTGATTGACCGAAGAGCTTCCCTCTTCTGATTCTTGTATTGCTTGCTTCAAGCTCTCAACCACTTGACTCATTGTTGGTCTTTCCTTGGCATTTTTGTTTAGGCAGCTAGTAGCCAACTTTCCAACTTTTTGTGCTGCACTGAATGAATAATTATTTCTAAGTCCAGGGTCTATTATCATGCTGAATCGTTTACTGTCAGGAGGGAACTGTTTCACCCAGTCTAGAAGCTTCTGCTCCAATGTTGGGCGGTTTCTGTCCACCGCTCGCCTCCCTGTGAGGATCTCATAGAGTACCACCCCAAAAGTCCATATATCACTTTGGATTGTGAGATGACCTGTTTCAACATATTCCGGGGCGGCATATCCATAGGTTCCAACCACCTTTAACAAAATGAAACAAATGATAATGTCAAACACCTTAACAAATTGCATGTTCTGAAATGTATCCTGCTTCTCAGAAATAGTTATAATGCAACTTTGACTCGTGAATAAGAGAGTCATTGATCATACACAGCTGGAGTCAAACTCGTTCAGCCAAATCTTTTCCTAACACAAAAATTTGTGAAAGTAGATGCTGTGTGCCTAATGTGCTAAGCAGCTAAAAGAACTGAATTAGTGCTTCTACTTTTCTCACCGCTTAAGATGTTGAATGTCAGCAGATAGTGGAGGGTTGAGCCAAACAACAAGGATGCAGTGCAGATGCTTTGTGAACATCAAATTAAGTCAGAAGTCATTATAACTACTTTACTCAAATAGCTGATAGCTACTTACCGCTGTGGATACATGAGTACGATCACCAGTTGGCCCTTCCCGTGCAAGCCCAAAGTCTGAGAGCTTTGGCTTCAAATTTTCATCCAAGAGCACATTTGAGGATTTGAAATCTCGATATATCACCTGTTCAAATAACACAAGGCAGATAAGAGAGTCTTCAAATAAATAACGAACCAATGTCAATCCATTATAACTTATAAAGCATACATTCAATGAAGTTTTTTGCTCTATTTTATCAGGTAGGCAATTCAGTGATACCAGCATTGAAGTCAGTAACATAGCTTGAATTCTCTCTCCCCTAATCTTTCCAATTGGGAAATTTTAGTTTTTTTGGACCTAAAGAGAAAATGGCCAATTGCCCATGTCTCATATTTCCTTTATCATTAGTCTTAATGTGATCATTTAGGATGGTTTTGCTGAAGTCATCTTAATAAAAGAAGATTGTACCTTGACTTCCAATCCCTCATGTAGATAAGCCAGTCCTTCTGCTGCACCAAGCATAATCTCTAATCTTGTTTTCCAAGGCAGGGTGGATGTCCTTTTAAAAAGATGATCTTCTAAGCTCCGGTTAGGCATGAATTCATACACCAGCAGTCTCTGGATCCCTCTTTCGCCATCTACAGAACAATATCCTAAAAGTTTTACTAGGTTTGGATGATTGACGACACCAAGAAATTGAACCTCCGCAAGCCATTCCTTATGACCCTAGATGAGGTTAGCAAAAGTATCATAAGAAACAGAAACTACTTTTCAAAATGAAGTACAAAGATTTTAGCTACCAAAAAGAAGAAACTATAATTAGAACCAGTAAGTGACAGCAACAATATAAGTGTTGAGGATAATTAGCCAACTTTAACAGTGTGAAATATAGATGATAACAAACTAATTTCCTCCTTTCAGCAGAAATAATTATATTTACTTTTTTATATGAAATTCGAGGAAAATGCAAATGCTTTTCAGACGAATTACTTATATATGGTGAAGATATAAAGTAGATAGATTAGGAAAAAAAAAAAAAAAAGAACAGAGGTGTCTCTGCCTCCATTTTGGAGACTGCTGTACTGTTAGCTTTCTACTAAAGATAGCTGCAAATTTCTGTAACAGTATGCATCAAAAACATGCAACCTTAAACAACCCAACTTAGAGTAAGAGTTACTATTGTAGTCTGCAGCCATTCTTGGGGCCGATTCTTCAATCATCTAGGACCTTTTCTCTTGGGGTTATAAGCTAAAGGAAAGAACCATCCGACAATAGAAATGTAAGTGATGTGGAGAGCTAATAGACAGAGACAGATACCACATTGTTCCAGAGCAAGAATGGCAGACTGAATCTTTAGATCAAAATCATCTGGACCCTTACAAGATTCCCAAATTTATAGTTTTTTGTTAGTTCTAAGTTATATCCCTTACTATAACACCGAATCTGATTTGACTACAACATCGAATTCCCAACTAATCAAACACCATATCCACCTTAGGCATCACAAAAATTTGTACAGATACCGAGAAAATTAATCCCAAATCCCAATTTTGACACCATCACTATCCAAATCATTGTATGAATCAGCCTCATAGCACATCATCAATATTCACTAAAACTATGGGTATAGAGCATACCATGTCACTGCTGAATTTTAAGACTAACCATCACATTTTGTTGCAAATTCCTATGAAATCGTTTTCAGCTATTATGAATAGAACGACCAGAAAAAGTGCAGGATGTTACCAGAGAAAATTAGTACCTGTAAACCCTGAGTGTTGAGCTTCTTGATAGCAACAACTATGGGATCACCTCGACCACTGTGAGGCGTAATTGTGCCCTTATAAACACTCCCAAAGCCACCCTGTCCGATCTTTAACATCCGATTGAAACCATTTGTTGCATCCCTCAGTTCTTGTAAAGAGAAGACTCTCAAATTATGCTCCTTTTCTTTGTACAATTCTGGTATGCTCCTTGGTGATGGCATAGATCTTGATGTCCGAGTCAAGGCTGAATTATCCGATTGACTTTGATTCCTCAACTCAGGAGCAGAACTTGATACTCCTTTCTTGTTCTTTGATTTGTCCTTGGTGAAGATAGAAAAACACTTCATTTCTAAGTTTTATATGACCAAAATGAAACTCTTGCAGTTATCGTCAAAATTGTTGTATCAAACTGCAATCTTTTCCTCACATTTAAACTATCCTCGAAGATAGATAAAGAACCCACGAAGAGAAACTGAAGTTTGAACAAGAAACGAGTGAAAGTACGATGAAACCAGAGAAAGAAAATGGAACCAGAAAAGTCTAGATGCCAAGCAGTGAGAAAATGAAGAAGGAAAAGTAAACCATATAATAAATGAAGCATACAAGCAAATAAATAAAACGTCAATTCTAGAGATGGTGTGAACAAAAGAGAAGCCAGATAAGAACGTAAGGGAAAAAAAAGAAAAAATAGAATAGCCTGAAGGCACAGAGATTGAATTTTGTCACAACATGGGAACAGCCGTACAAGCGATTAAAAGTGAAAACCCAGACAAGAAACAGTAAAAGAAACACGGATTAAGGTTTGAAAAATATTGTATAACCACGAGTACACAAATTCACACCTAAGAATAGAAGGAGAAAGAAATGAACAAAATGGCGTGTATAAAACGATGAAATCAAGGCAATGAAAAGAACAGGAGGCAAGTGAATTAAGAGACTGAATTTGACTGCAAGCACAGAAAAAATAGAAAAGACCAAGCAAAGAAAGAAGCAAATCTTCTAAAGCATTGCTATTTCTCTCCGTTCACATTGACATTTCTGCAAATGAATACTTAATACGAACAGTAGTAATCAAAGATCTTACTGGATTCCGCGTTTTATTTTGGTCTCTAACTTTTTGTGGACTCTTGTAAGTTAGCGTTTAGCAATGACTTTAGACCTTTAATCAGGCTCTGCCTTTTTTGGGCTTTTGGACCGTCAACCCATTGCAAAAATCATACGCCAAAAAAGAGTGGACTGTTGAGGGGTTGGGAGCGTCGTCAAGTAGAAGAAAGCAAATGGTTTACGTTGCTGTCATTTGAATGGACCTGGAATACCAAAGAACAGAACTTTCATCGAAGCTCCCATTTCGCTTCTACCTAGGACAGGACAGAACTCAGAAACAAGATAAGATCTGCAATCTTTTCAACAACATGGCGTCACCTTTTCATTCAACACGGCTGACGCAACCCTGTCAAGATGAAGCTTCCCAAATCACAGCCTTGTTTCTTTAATTTCCTTTTCATAATTTGCTACCTTAAAAATTAAAACAAACCCTTTTTCTTCATACTTATTTGATTTCATCGTCAGATTAAACTATCCGAAGGGGATTCTAGACTTCTAGTCCAACTAGCGATCAGAGCATTTATAAAAAGAGATTTTCTCCATTGTGGAACACTAAAATCTTATAAACCCAAAAATGGATTAATCTCAAACTCTTTGAGAGAGAGAGAGAGAGAGAGAGAGAGAGGGGGTTTGGTTGAGTTGACATTTTAAGACCATTTTGTTCATTTAGTCCTCGTACGTGACAATTACTAGAAAACCAACCCCTTTTATTATGGGACCGACGCATAATTTCTTCAAGTCATTGACCTTGCTTCTTCTTTCTTTTGCCTTTTTTTTTTTTGCTCAATAAATCTGTGGGTGATTGGTATCTTAATATTTTAATAATCATGGATATGGGTATGGTGTATGAGTGGTATGAAGAATCATTGGCATCGGAGACTCACACAATTAGGCGGTCACACAACAGGAATTAAAAACCAAAGAAAATGAGTTGATTAGCTCCATCATCAAATCTACTGATAAATCTATAATAAAAAACCAAGTCTTCTTCTATGGTTGAGAAAATTCTAGGTGACCTGGCTTTTTTTTTTTTTTCCGTGGGGAAGGCGATCGACCTAGTAGACTCCAATCTTCTTCAATGATCAAACTTAATTTTGGGTCAATTGGAAAATTTCCATCAAATGAGAAATGTTGTAAATGAAATTTTGAAACACCATAATTCTCTCTACTATGTCGCATGTACGAGATGGAATTTCCGTGCAAAAAAGGGCAAAGCAGATGGCAACTTTGACACCTTTATTTTCCCCCTTCACATGGGCAAACAACTCAGTGTCCCCTCTTCCTGGGACCCATATTTCATATCCATTTATAAAAGGAGTAAAAAAAATAAATAAAAAAGAAGAAGAAGAAAGTAAACCACCGATGCTTTTACCTTATGAATAATCATTTGGCTGAAGCCCTTTCCAGTTTCCACCCGTACAAAAAAGTTGTTTTGTCATTAAATCATTGTACATAATTCACCCGAACTTATGAATCTATTTCATATATTTTCGTTAATACAATAATTATTTCATTGGTAAACTTCAATAATAGAGAGTGAAACAATATCATTATATAATACACCTGATATAATGATTTATTATACTATATTAATTTTTTTCTGTCCTGAAATTTTCTTGCCATTTGCTTGGAATGTAGATCTTTACCCTTTGCACAGTGCCGAATTAAAAATTTGGTCAAATAGCCATGATTATCCAACCCCAAAAGTAAAAAGGTTACTGCACCAACCCCTGCTTTTGAAATCTTTATAATCATTGTAACTTTTTTCCCCCACCTTCGCTGAAAAACCAAACCAATTTGAACAAAGTAAAATAAAAAGTCAACCAAATCAGAAAAATCAAAGTACTATGAAATCAATTGTTACATACTTTTGGTTTCGCATGAATTTTTTAGAGTAAACGTTGTGATTTCCACTTAAATTAGGCGTTCACGTGACTAAATTTGATTTAGGAAAATATTTAGTTGAGTTAGACTAATCAGTGCTGGTTGTAACGTTTGATTTTCTTTGCAGGAATTTTTTTATTGTATGACTTTGTGTTACTTGAATTAAAAAGAAAATTTTGTGTCAATTTATACTATTTGTTAGAATATTTATAACTGATTTGACACATTCCTAACCATATGAATACTATTATACGGGCCGGAAGAATTGAAACATAAAGTTTATGGTAGACACATTTATGAGCTATGCAATGCCTTTTAATTCGGGCCAATAATACAGTTTCGAAAGAGGAAACAAAAAAAAAAAATTCCTTGGTCAGAGGGTAAATGTTGTATGATAAGAACAATATAGGTTTTACTTGTTCATCTCGATAAAATAATAATAATAATAATAATATCTGATAATTTTATTAGCCACAAAAACGATGGGGGAGCATTCAAATTCAATGTTCAAAGCTGGGTTAGGATAAGTCTTGACTTAAACAGAAGTTAATTGTATATTTAATTGTAAAAAAATGACTTATTTATTTATTTATCATTAAATAAATGTATTTTTAAAATAAATGGTGAGGACTTCCATTACATTTGTGAATCTATTGATGACCGTAACCAAATTGCTTTAACTTTTTTATGAAATTATGATGAGTCAAACAACTAGTGTTGTAAAAAAACTAGGCATGAAAAGAATTTCCACAGCTTAAAATTTACTAAGAAAATTTTAAAATAAAATGTTCATAAATATATTTTTTAAGGAAGGGGGATTTTATTATGCTTAAAAGCCCTTTCATGATGCTGAACAAAAATGCAGATGCTTGAACTAGGACACAGTTGCGTTTTATGATTGGACTCTTAGAGATTAATCATAGATCAATATCACAGAGGAATCTCTCCTACTACGATGCAAGGGAGCCTCAATGGTAGAAACAAAGCAGTACTTCCAAAATACAGAACAATGAATAGAGGACAAAAAAAAAAAAGAATCATGCAAGGGTTAATATTATACACGGTATCATATGAACCAATACTCTCAAATACATAACCTTCCCTCCCGTCTACAATGACAATTTCTTCGGACTTAAGAGGAAACATGTCGGATCTCATCATGCTAATGCTGTACATGGAATCATAACGACAGCTGGAACTAGCACATGGGATATACTGCAAAACTCTGCACCGATTCACCAAAACTATCATACAAAATAAAATCAACTCCACAACCATATCAGTTCTTCAACAATGGCAGCCACCAGGGATAATAGCTAGTCATTCTTCAATGCAATGTGGGTGCAACAGGTAGCTGGTTCTATTTCTTCAATTAGGAGTCCAAAGTAGCCGTCGGCTCATAGCAGGTGGTGCTAAGCCTGGAATATCCCGGATGTCCTTGTTGTTTGGGTTCACAAGCTGAAAAAGGAAACCAAATAATTGAGCACAAGTATAAACACCATGTGAACAGAGAAAAGATAAATTCACATAGGCAGCTTTCCACATGACATTGTGGTTAGAGTCCAGAAAAACTGCTTTCAATTGTCAACCAGTTACACAGAATCCGTGGTAAGGTGTTAATTCAGTGGTTGATGGTGAAGCGGGGTTTGAGAAATAGTAGACCTTAACGATTAGGATGGCTATGACACCAATGACAATAAGAAACAACAATGCCATAATGCACTTATCAGTGGCAACCTATGAACAAAAAGAAAATAAAATCAGTAAATACAATTTAACACTCGTCAGTTCATACGAATGAAAGGAAGTGGATGTTTCAGAGATTGACCTGCCTACCAATTTCTTTGACCAATTTAGATGCTTTCTTGATTGAGAAATGGATAGAATCCAGCTCATTAACTATCCTGCTCATTTGTTCAGTCTAAATATGAAAGAAATAATATTTCTTAGTTTGAATATCAATGTAGAATCTCAAAAGGTTAATACAACGAAAAGTAAAACTGTTAATTGAACCTTAGATATAGCAAAATGTCAAGATAATGATTTAATGCTATCAGGTTATTTACCTGAGACTTGAGAGCTGCAGCAGTCTCTGTCCCAACATCAACGGTGTCTTGAACAACCTAATATATAGAAGAGAGACAAAACTTAGTCTTCCTTCTATAGCCCTAGAAATCAGGAAGAGTTATTAAGATGGGGAGGAATTGAGCTAAGAGGTGGTAAATCCTAAGACTTCTTGCCTTTTGTTGGTTTTAAGTTTAACATAAAATGCAAACTTCAAAAACCATAGCTCTAAATACAACCAATTATTTTTCAGTAGAGGAAGATGCAGGACATGTTACAAAATCTAATGTAGCAAAAGTTTGGACACCAACCTTCTTAGCCCTGTCAATGGCTTGATCAGTCTCATCCATCATTTGGTTTCCTCTATCCATTAGTTGTTGATTTGTCATAGCTGCAGAACATACAGGCTGTCTCAGAAACAGTTTAAAATTCAAGTAAAATACGACACTTGCATTTTATTTGCAGACAACATTCCAACATCATCCCAACAATCAATGTAAAGGAGTCAGAACCAATATGAAGAGTGCATTGGCTAACAAAGGCACAACAGTAGAACACAGCTTCAAAGTTGAATGACATCTAGAAATTTATGCTGCTGTAAAATCAGATTATAAAAATACATTTTAGCCATTAAATAAGCTCTGATTAACACTCTAATAGTTATTTATATAGCAAAGTTTCCATTATTGCTTCCCAGTTTGAGAACACATAGAAGTACAACTACAAACAGGTTGACTATATCGTTCGGTGCGAGATAATATTGAACTAAGTGATCAGAGATTTCTTTGTCAAGCATCTCATCCCTTGTCATATTGAGTGTGTTTGACAGCATATATTCTAGCAATAGTGCAAAATTACTTGCACATCTTACAACCAACTACCATTAGATAATCACTGTAAACTAAATGAGAAACTGAAAATATTTATGGCCACACTTAAAAGTAAAAAAGAAAAATAAGACAATATTTGGTGCAAGTGAGTTAGTGCATCTGTGTTTGTTGTCAACTGCCAGAACAGAAAACTGATCAGGGAAGAACGATGTCTACCTATGTCACTATTTATAAACAAAATTTCAACTCAAACTTCCACATAAACAAATCAGCCAAATTCAGAAAAGCTGATATACTTACATGACGCTAGCAAGACATTTTCTTCCCCAAAGCCTTCATTAGGCCCATCAAAGAGATCAACTCGATTCTTGTTCTCAAGATTGCTTTGATGTCTGTAGCACAAGAACAACGTCAAAACAAGCCAAATTACACATCAATAAAATGAAACATAACATTTAACAATAATTAGTCCTTGTTGATACCAAGGAAATTATTATTGCAAGATATCTATAGTAATTTCCTTAACAATTTACCAATTTTCAAACAATAACAAATATAGTTTACTGGCACAAGATCACAAGGGTGACTAAAAGAACAGGTTGAAGGGATAAGATAAGAGAATTTGGAAGGGCGACAGAGGAAGGGGAATGTAACCCTGAAAAATGGAAAAACTCTATCCATAAGCATTATAAATTATTTATAACTAGTAAGAGCATGAGCATGCATGAAGCGATCCCTTCATGCCACAAGAAACAAAATGGATAACTTAAACTGCTCATATAAACTTACTGCTTCTTAAGGGCAACATACGAATTCAACTCCTTAATCTGCATGAGAATAACATAAGTTTGAGAAAATTTTGAACAGATACTTGGACGACAATTTAGAGGATCTAACCAAAAAACAACAAAAGAAGAATCAAACTTAAAAGTTATAAAGCACCATCGACTGCTTCTTTTCGTTCAGCATTCTGTGGGTGTTTGCATCAGTTCTACTCTCCATTTCCTTCACTTCTCTATCAAACTCTTTGATTAGCCTGAAAAGGTTAAGCAGATAGTATTTTAATTCAAACCAACGGAAAAACAGTTTTAAATAACAACATGACAGCAACAGCATAGCAGAGTAACAAGCACAATTTCTTAGAACCTCAATTCTTAGTTAAGAGATCAACTTCAAGAAAGATGGGTGCTCTGGTTTAGATTTTTTTCTTTATAATATGAATAACTATTCAAACTAAACTAAGATATCCTTCAAAAGCATAATGTGAGGGTTGTCATCATTTTATTTCTTCACTTTGCAATCAATAAATAAAACTAAAAGGAGAGCTTCTAAAGAAGGTTGAATCTGAAGATACCTCTTGCATTCTCGCATCTTGTCGGTAAGCTCTTCCAATTGCCTACTCTGCCGATTAACATCCTTAACCTTCTCCAGTTTCTGGAATCCATTTCTGCAATGAAAACACAACAAAATTTTAAAGAATGTAGAAATAAATCATAATTACTATGCAATGAGTGAAGTCTAAACTCAAGTTAGTTATAATAAAATCATAAATGAGATTTACATCTTTGATAAAAAAAATCATTTGTTCAACACAATGAAATAACAAAAAAGAAATATGTATATCAGAACAACCTGATTGAAATCTACATTGCAGAAACAACGAAAAAAATATAAGAATTTAAATTCTTACGATAAAGCTCGAAAAATGTCGGCGATTTGTCCGTCGATCTCCGCTAGCTCTTCGCTGACCGCAGCTAAAGGATCCATCTTTCAACCTTGGATGTAACCGGCTATCTTCTCTCTCAATTTCAAGTCACTCTTCACGCATTAAATGGATTCTCAAAGAATAAATGAAGTAAAATTTTTATTTTTGATCTTTTTTAGCTCTTTATCGACAGGAATGACGATTCAAAGACACGATCGAGAAAACACCAAAACAGCACATTGAAAAAGCCAGATTCGCGGGGATCCGTGCGATTTTCAATCAATGCGGAGCCAATAAATCGTAAATTCTCCTCAAGACACAAAAAGAAGATAGAATTTGAGGCGAATCTTCAATTCCCGAGCAAAAAAGCAAACAAACATCGATCTTTCCAAAGGGAATGCGTAAGATTTCAAATGCGTACCAAATCGAAAGGCAAAAAAAATTACAACATTTGAAATCCGATTCCGTTCGATGTGAAGGCCTTTATTAATGGATCGGGGAAGACAAAGAAAGGAAGGTTCTTTAAATGTTTGACGCCATTGCCTCCCTTCTCGATCTGAAAGAGCTTCTCATTCAAGGTCTTCTCTTGATTTACAGATAATTTTGGATTTTTTTTAATAATTAGTAATTTTTAAGCCTTTTTTTAGAATTATTATCATTATTTTTTCCTGTTTTGGCTTCGCTGGGGGGTTTTTGGCTCGGAGGGTGAAGGTTTAAAAAACTCACGATAATTTAGGCCGTTTAAACCGGAAATTAGGAAGTCGGAAGTGGGGCCCACCTCACATGCGTTTTTTCCTGTGTATTTCGAAGTGACGGTTATACCATCTGGTCAGATAATCCTGTCCGTCGGATAGGATTTAATTCATGATAAGGTTGATTTAGATCCAGACCCGATTGTATTTGGAGTTTCTATAAAATGCGAACAAGAAAACCCTAACTTGTCTTTGTTGCTTTCTCTCGAAGAGCCGCAAACAGGCTTGAGATCCTCCCAACCTAACGACAATGGTACTCTCTTTTTTTTTTTTTGTTTTTTGGAACACATTTTCATTTTACAATTTCTGTATACATATAGATGTGTTTGTTTCGTGGGAAAAATGCATTCTACAAAAATGTTGCATGTTAAAGTAGTTGGTTTGCTGAGCAACAACAAATCGTTGAAGCGGATATGAACTCCATTAATAGCTAAATAGAAGTTTTGTTATAGTTCAAAGTTTCATTTATTATGCAACATAGAAGCAGAAGGAAAAGGTGGATAGGAAGTCAGACAATTATATTACAAAATTTGGGTTACTAAAGTTGATGGGTTATTAATAAGTTTGCCTTAGTGTCAATTTCAGTCGCTTATTCTTGATCTGTTTTATTTAATGTCGAAAGGCTAGAATGGCAGGAAGAAATTGGATATCTTTGGGGGATTGGTTATGTTTAGTTATAACCAATGTACCTTTGTAGAGAATTGAACATGAAGGAAGCAATATGGATGATTTGATTGCTTGCGTGGGCGTGTATGATTATCATTTAGTTGTTTTATGTTGTTTCTTGGCGTAATTTGTTAACCCCATTCTTTTGCTGACGATGCAGACAAAGAGAACGAAGAAGGCCGGAATTGTTGGAAAATATGGTTGGTGAATCTTAATTTTATGAAGTTTTACTTTGTTATATTTTATTAGGAGTTTCTAAGTAGAAAGGATCCATAGTGTATGAAAGGGTAGCCATGTGAGTGTGTTGGGAATTATTGCCTTTCTAAATTTTATTCAAATTGATTCAAGTTTTTATTCATTGCAACTTTACTCTTGAAGTTCTTCTGAATTAAAATGGGATTTTGGCTCTTTAAACTATGAAGTCTCTGATTCCTTGTTTTACCTCTTAATGAAGGTACCCGTTATGGTGCCAGTTTGAGGAAGCAAATTAAGAAGATGGAGGTCAGTCAACACAGCAAGTACTTCTGCGAGTTTTGTGGAAAGGTAGGATGCTTCTGTCTTTTGTCTATCTGTTTGATCCTATAACTTTTGAGACATAAGTTTTTTGTTTTTGACTCATTTGGTGCACTTCTTTATTGGAATTGCATGTATTTGTTCTGATAAACTCTGCTGCTATAGTATGCAGTGAAGAGAAAGGCTGTGGGAATCTGGGGCTGCAAGGATTGTGGGAAAGTTAAAGCAGGCGGTGCTTATACTTTGAAGTAAGGATCCATATTCAACCCCTTCACTCAATTTCTTTTCTTTGGATGGCCAAGTAACTAACCAGTTGCTGCATGTGTTACTTTAACAGCACTGCTAGCGCTGTGACAGTGAGGAGTACTATTAGGAGGCTGAGGGAGCAAACTGAGAGCTGAGCCACCATTGGCATATTCTGCTTTCATAGGTTGTTTTGCATGTCTTAGCTACAGACTCATTGAGATATTTTCTTTTTTTGACAATGATTTGCTGCTCGATGTGCTTAATTCTCAATTTTATATCTGAGTCAGGTGTTGGAACTTCATTAAAGTTCAATTATTTGCTTCTACACTATCTTGTTAATTTACATCAAATTAAATTGTGGACTTCTTGACTCTTTTTCTTGCGCATTATTGTTGATTTCAACGTTTATGAGTGCGTGGGTGGATGTGATCGCTGCATAAATCCTGTTACTGTTGGAAAATATTTTAGGAACTCCAGAAGTGACTCCAGCATGAATCTACATCCAAGTCACAAGTCAATCTCCTAATTAGAAATGCTTGAACTACTTTAATCAGTGTGTTTATTTACTTTCGGTTGCTTTATGTCAACTTTTTTCAAAGCTGTCTTCTTAAAGGATTAACAGCTTTGTCGTTTTGTGTCAGTGGAATCGTCCTCGTAATACTTTTTCTTTTGTTTGTGCTACTTTAATCAGTCTGTTCGATTGGGGTTGCTTTATGTAAAACTTTTTCAAAAGCCATCTTAAAAGATTTAAATCTTCGTCGTTTTGTGTCGGTGGAATAGTCCTTGTAATAATTTATCTTTTGTTTGTATAATTGATTTGTATCCCTTCGTACTCTTTCTCTATAAGAAGGAGCTTTCTCCGAAGTAAAGAATGAGAACTAAGGAAGAATGTTCGGTTTGTTTTCTTTTTACTACGCCTTTCTAAACTTTTCCCTTCGGTGAATCTCTTTTGCCTGAGAGCTTGTTGATTCAATTCCTGGAAAGTAGATCACTGTCAAAAATGAAGTAGCAATTTCAACTTTTCAAGCTCAAGCACATTACAGGTAGGCCACTGCTGTTGATCTCCATGCCAGGAAGACTGTAAGGGTTGTAAGTCTGCTTTCTTACTTTGGATTAAACCATTGAAGAAGAGATTAACTACACTATTCACATATGGCACTCGAAAACACAGAAACCTCTTCTTCCTCTGCTTCTACTTGTACAAAAGCTTTCTTCTCCACAGCTCCCCCTACACTGAAAAGATCTACCGCCTCCAAGGTGCAATATCTATTTGAGATTGATTACGTACCAATAAATCAGAAAATCCAAGAAACAAAACTTGCTGATATAAATATTTATAAGGCTGTTACTAAACCTTCCACTTCCTTCTTCAAATCTGTAAAAACATTTCTTACTCCGTCTCCTCAAAAGCCTAAAGAAGATATCCATGTCACTGAGTTTCACGAGTATCCAATACCCTCTGGGGAAGGAGAGCATTTTATCACTCTCCAAATCCCGCCTCAGTTTCAACGACGGTGGATTTCTGAAGGATACGATGAAGTTCATTTTGGAGCCATTCGATTGGCTTTAACCTTCCATAACAGGAAAGGACTCCCATTAGCCACTAGAATCGCCTTGCTTGATTCTAGATATAAAAAGTACCAGCATGCATGTTTAGGGATAGTCGAGACAACACTCAACGCAGGCAAAGTGTTTGTGACTCTTTTCCCCAATTTTACCAGGTCTGTGCGGGACAAAAACTTGTCCAAACCCTTTCTGGTTCAAATCCAAATTGTCGGAGCCTCTATGGACCCAGGTCTGATTCAAGCCACTCTTCATTCTCAGATAGCTTATAGAGCCCAAGATCATGTTCTTGGCTTGGCATCACCCTCTTTTGGAGACACTCCGCTCATCCAAGTTGACTCTAAAAATCGGTGCACCATCATCCTCATCCCAACAAATATCTCAAGGGAAGAACTTGTTTCCATACTCCCTGAAGTTTGGGTCACAAATTATGAAAATAGGCCAATCGAAGAGCGTCCGACTCCGACCCAAACTATTAATCCATTCACACAAAATGCTGATGGAACTGTTACAATCAGATTTAGCGGTTCAAATTGACAACAAAGCGCAATTCATGCATCCAGCTTGTTTATATGCAAATTGACTCGTGAATTGGTGATGGTTATTTTTGCGGTCAAAAGCATAATTTGGGCTCTTAGAGTTGTGTAAATATTGGGCTTGTATGGATGGTTGGGCCTCATCACTTGTCCTTCCATGCGTTGTTGACTGACATATTCAGGAGGATAACCTAAAGGTTGTTCTTCATGGACTGGCGGCCAGACTCTTGGAGGAATAAATCTGCTTAGTTCAAAACACTTTATCCTCTGGATGGTAAAAAAAATTTCTGACATGAATGGAATAGGGATTCGTTCCATACATTGCAGCATTAGGAAAATATCGAAAATGGTTCCTCTAATATAGTTGCATGGTAAGATGACAATGATATGAGCATCCCAGCATGTCTTTTCCAAGCCTGTTTTGTCTAGTATAAACTTTCACCCAATGATCCCAATGTGAAATGGATGGAAGCATTCAAGTATGTGTTCGAATTTTTTGTAGGAGTGACTTCTAAGAGAGGGAGTGGATGTCATGAGCTCTTGAGTTGTTTCTGGAGCAGAGTCTCTTAAGTCTTAAAATTTAGTCAGAGATTTTCAACATTCATCTCTATGGCGATGTAATGGATGTAACGGATGCTCCTCCAGCAGTGAATCTCAACCTGGCAACCTCAACCTATCTCCAAGTCACGAGCCAGTCGATATGGTAACATGCAAAGCTTGATGCATGAACAACTTTATCCATATTGTTAAATGTTGACAGTTCAGTGAGTGTTCTTACTTTCAGTTGTATCAAAGCTGTCTTCTTAAAAGATTAGCCTCTTGACATTTTGGGTCGGTGGAATAATCCTTGTTAATAGGTTTTTATTTGTTTGCATCTCTCAAAATCCTTCTATAAGGAGCTTCCTCCAAAGGAAAAAATAATAACAGTAGAATTTAAGATAGCCTTAGAAAGAAAACTCGGTGTGTTTTGCTTTTATGGCTTTCTACTCTTAAGGTTTCATTCTCTTTTGTAATTAGATATATCTAGCTGATAGAGTAATCAATGACGTGAGTCATAGCACGGCACAGGACTGTTGACCGCCATTCCAGGAGGGCTCTAAAGGTCTGCAGTGGCCTAGCATATCTTGGATTAAGCCATTTGAGAAGAGATCAACTAAATCACCTATGGGCTATGGCACCCCAAAATAAAGGAACCTCCCTCTTGTTCCTCTGCTTCTTCTACTTCCAGAGCTTTCCTCTCACCTCCTACTCTGGAAAAAACTACAGCCTCCAAGGTGCAATATCTGTATGGTGGCTTACAGTTGGCTCGTTTGTACGATGGACCCAGGCCTAATTCACCCTACTCTTCATCCAAGATCATGTGTTTCACTTGCCAATAACCTCTTCTAAAGACATTCTGCTAATTCAAGTTCCCTCCCAAAATGTAAAAAAAACCGAACATCTCCTGGGAAGAATTTGTTTACGAACTCGCTGCGCATCTCCCTATAAAAAAAAATGCTATGCAATGGAGCCTCAGGTCATTTTGGAAGGTTATTTTCTATATAAATGTGTTTTCACCAACATCCATGAACTGTTGGTAGCACTTTAATTCTTAATTTCAATAATTAAAATTTAAATTATGATAACTTTAAATAAAAAAAAGAAAGTACTTTCTCACCGAAGTTATATGCAACTCAAATGTAGTAGTTGTAGTAGTAACTGGTAGCAATACTGTAACAACTTATGCACTTATGACCCCTTTCAGCAAGGAAAACTAGAAAAAAGGAAAAAAAAGAAAAAAAGAATAGATTGTGCATCGTGGAATGGAGTCCAGTAGATAGTGTTAACATCTTTCAGCTATTCTCATTAACCGGAGTACATGCGAAGCTGTTCGGACTGGATGGTTTTATCTGGAGTTCCAGGATATAGAAATACAACTAATTACATTTACTAGAACAAAATGAGACAAGCAATACCAGGCTCTTTAGGCTCACCATAGTGCCATCCTTCACTGATAAACTCAACCTATATATACATTAATAAAGCCATTAAAAAAATATAGACGAGAAGGGGAGGCCCATTTCTTGCTCCATGATCAAGCATCTTATTGAACCACTGAACCTGGTTCCAAGCAGGTACCTTGCTGCTATCTTACCTTATAATGCGAAGGAATAATGAAAAATATCAAAACTTGAGGAGAACAGCTAATTAAAAAAGACGCCCATCTGGTGAATTTATAAAGCAAACACCATTTTGGAGTCTCATATTAGACAATTGCAGTTGGTAGGTCATCACCGTTGCGATGAAGAATTCATTTTTGGGTATCTTTCATAGCCACTACTCTGGCAGCATTGGCTGCTTTGTTTGCAGCTGAGACAACTTCATTCACTCTCATCAATCTTTTTTATGTCATAAGCTTTCTCAGAAGCTCGCCGTGCTTCCTGTATGCAGGACAGCAAATTTTAGGAGAACTTATAGTAATTCTTTATTGGTAGAAGTCATCTTCGGCAGTCTAAATTATATATTCTAGCATTTGAGCTAAGTTTCACTGAATAAGAACATTATTAGTGGTAGAAAATTTTTAAGCAAAGAGCAAAAGAATGATATGTCAACTCTTAGTGAAGCCAGATAGACAATGATATGAACGATACCTGGACAGCATTAAGGATATTTTCAAGTCCATAGGACAGAAAATTCAAGTTTATAGTAATTTCCTTAACAAATTACCAATTCCAAACAATAACAACTATAGTTTCCTGGCACAAGATCACAAGGATGACAAAAAGAAAAGGATGAAAGGATAAGACGAGAGAATTTGGAAGGGGGATAGAGGAAGGGGAAGGATAACTAACCAGTTGCTGCATGTGTTACTTTAACAGCACTGCTAGCACTGTGACAGTGAGGAGTACTATTAGGAGGCTGAGGGAGCAAACTGAGAGCTGAGCCACCATTGGCATATTCTACTTTCATAGGTTATTTTACATGTCTTAGCTACAGACTCATCGAGATTTTTTTTTTCACAATGATGTGCTGCTATGTGCTCAATTCTCAATTGTGTATCTAAGTCGGGTGTTGGAACCTTATTTAAGTTCAAATATTTGCTTCTACATTATCTTGTTATTTTCCATCAAATTAAATTGTGGCCTCCTTGACTCTTTTTCTTGCCCATTATTGTTGATTTCAATGTTATGAGTGCGTGGGTGGTTGTGATCGCTGCGTAAATCCTGTTACGGTCGGAAAATATTTTCCTAATTAGAAATGCAAGTCACAAGTCAATCACCTAATTAGAAATGTATG